TAAAAAAAGAAATAGAATAGAATGAATGTATATGTATATGTCTGTGAATCACTTAGTGAAGTGGTTTGGGGCTAAAATTAATATTAGAAGTAGGAGGGGCTACATAATCCCAGGAGGTAGTTAAATTCGATAATCTGCTCTAAAAACACTTACAGCTTCCAGGGAGTGGTAGGCCCCATAGTTGAAGTAATCACCACTCCGTTCTTTCTTTTCATTGTGCTGCATTTCCTCCTCTTCATTATCTAAGAGAGACTAACACAGACAAGACAATGGAGTGAGAGGGGCTCACAGAGGTGGAGGTGTTTCTCTTACCATCCCTTCAAGTGTAAACTGACCAAGATGGCAGCATCGCAAACCCACATAACTAGCAGAACACATGTCAAAGTTTATAAGGGGGTCAGATTTCTTCCGTATATTTATAAAGTCTTACTTCCTGGCGCCCAACTCACATCACTCCATTCAATATCCATTCACTCCCTGAAGCTACATCTGTGCTATTTGGTTCTTCTACATGATGAATTCTCTAGACATCAGCCTGCATCTGGTATCCAGTGCCTCTGAAATACACCGCTTGGGAGACCATTCAGAAACAAAGAAATTCTTATAACCACTCATACTTTGAAGGCTCCTGGCAGATGTCTGTGACATACGAGGATGATTAATAAGCTCACAGCTGCTCACGCCATCAGGAAACTCCCGGGTCGAATCACCAATTAGTCTATAACCCACCTCAGTGAGGAAGAGAACGTGAGCCAGACACGGCCCTGCTGTTCAGAAGAGGCCGGGAGGCTTAGAAGGTGATGTTCCCTCTGCTGGGGGCTGTTGGGAACATTCCCACTTTCTCAAAGGGTGCATTTCATGGCTCCTCTCCCAAGCCCCCAGCCCTTCCTGCTCTTGCTGCCTGACTTTTAATATGAAAAAGAGGAAGGCAGGATTTGTGGGGCATCTGGGTTGTATATACAGACACCGTTAAAACATCTTACCTACATTTAATCACTTAATTGTTTTAATAGCCTTAGACATAACTATCACCATTACCATTCTACTGAAGAAGAAACTGAGGTTAATAGCTATTCAAAGTCACATAGCTTCGATGTGGTTTCATAACCTCCATATGCCCTTTCTAGTTACTGCATGGTGTTCCTTGAACAGGTGACTTGCTTTACTTCCAGATGCCTCAATGTTTCCACCTGTGAAATGGAGGAGGGTTGGACCAGAGCTTGACAATCTCTTGGTTCAACTCTGGTCTGTCTGCAAGCCCATTTGAGGGATCTTAGCCTACCCACCTGCAGATCTTCAATCGTTACAGAGTACTCTAAGCCTTTGGACTTCAGGAAGGATTTGACTGGCTGCAGGCTGATAGATGGGACCATGACATCCACAAAGTGACTGAAGGCAGAAGGATGCTTCCAGAAGTTAAGCTAAAGAGAATCAAAACCAGGTTAAAGGACAGTTCAGGCAAAAGGCACAAGGAACTCATTCTTCTAAAACTACCAAGACCGGAGTGATCCCTGAGGGGCCAAGTGTCCAAGAGCAAACTGTCCACTTCACACACCATGTGCTCAGAGCTGCCCAGTTGAATCCAGGAGCCAATAAAACCATGGCAGATGGCAGGGTGGAGCCTACCCCTCACACTTCCCATCTCCACCCAGCATGCACTGCTGAGCTACCCTCCTTCTCCCCATCACCACCTCATCACGCATTGGCATGTTAACTAGTGCAAGGTTACGCGTAAAAAAAGCTCTGGGAAGAAGGAATATCTTAATGCCGGTGGCATAAAAGCCTTCTCCCACTGAACAAAGTGATAAGCCACCCAAGAGAGTGAGAGAAGAAGGTACCATGAAGTTGTCCAAATTCACCAGCTGGGTCAGTTTGTTCATCTCATCTTCATTTTTCACATTAATCCGGAAAACTTGGTCCCTACAGGAGAAAAAAAAAAAAAGAGGAGTAGAATGTCAAAGATAATGGGAAGCTTTCAGCTGGCAAATAAACTCCAACCTATTTCTTCAGACATAAAAGGAGGAGAGGAAATGGCCTAGTCTTTGGTTATAGTGTACAGCCATCAAAAATATGACTATGTGGCAAATATGAAAAAGTGCTTATGGTATAACTTTAAGGGAAATATAAAGTGAAAGAGTAGGACACAAAATTGTATGTATGCCATGATTACAAGTATGGAAAAAGCAGATGCATTGAAAGAAAAACAGACAACGGAAATACAGCAAATGCTGACGGAGCGCATGTTCGGGTCGTGGGATTATGGATGACTTACTCCCCCGCCTCGTCCCCCGGGTATCTGTTTTCTGTAATGTGGTCATATTACTTTATAATGAAAAACATATATATTTCCCAGAAAGGAATGCTCCTGAGCTACATGCAAAGCGAACTCAAGACGTAAAGAAGCATTCATTCCCTCAGCGTCAGGGGCCAAGGCCCAGAGCTTGGCCGACCCTGCAGGCTGGGAGGGGCTGGGAGAGCTAACAGACTCTGTATCCTTGGAGGTTTAGCATCTCTCCTGTTGGAAAGAAAAGAGGGGGGATGTTGGAAGAGGGTTGCTCCATCCCTTCCAGCTCCAGAGTCCTATACAAACAGGGGTGGAGGTGGACACGAATGTGGCCCTATGGACCATCCTGAGTCTGAGAGGGCTGGGGGGAGCCTGCCCCAGGCAGAGCCCTCTCTGCTGTTTGGCCTGCACTTATTCCATGTGCCTCCCGCTCAGCGGCAAGGGAAGAGGCCCTGAAGCCCCTTGTGTGGGTGGGAGATGGCCGAGCCTGAAAAGCTGCCTTTGTGCCCAGCGCCGCTAGCTCAGGGAGCCAGGGGACCCATTAGGCCCGTTGCTAGGTGACAGCCGAATGAATCTGCACTCGATGCTGTCACATGCGTCATTCCTTTGACACAGTGAATGCAGGAAGAGGGCTGGAGAGGCTGTGGGTTGAAGGACTTGTTGATGGAGAAAACAGGTCTGTCACCAGGAGCTGACCACGGGGCCTCCCGCAGCAGCTCGGCCTCTGTGTCAGAAATCAGCTCCAGCCAGATGGGCCCTCAGGTCTAACTTTGTTCTGAAAAGGCCTGGGGGTCCTGAGGTGATATCAAAAAAATAGCCTGAGGGTACTATGATCAAAGCACCCTGCTGCTAACCAGAAGGTCAACAGTTCGACCCAGCAGTCACTCCGTCTGTTTCTGTAAAGATTTACAGCTTTGGAAAGCCCGTGGGCAGTTCTACTCTGTCCTCCAGGGTGGCTGTGAGTCAGGATCCCCTTGAGAGCAGTAGGTTTGGTTTGGGGTTGGGAGGGGACTGTTCAGGTAAGCCCTGAGGACGTAGATTGAGACCACAGCAGAGCTGCCACTGCTGCAGACAGCTGGTGTGGAGGGAGGGGCCAGAACCCAGGACTTCCCATGACTGGTCACCACAGCATCCTGTGAGGGACACAGCCATCTGCAGCCCATGAGCGCTGGCAAGGCATCTTGGAGAAACCACTGCCTCTCAAACAGAACTCCCCCGGCGCGGCCAGAGCTTAACCACCACCCTGGGAAGGGAAGGAGGTAGACCACCACCACTATCTCACTCTAATAAGCTAGTGAGAAAGGAGTGGGTTAAAAACAGTAAATCCTGCATTCCTGGCTGAAGACCAGGGCTGATAGTCCAAACTCATTCACTGTCACAACCTATCCCATCAGTTCAGAAAAGAAAAAGCATTAAGGACAGACAGCAATGCAGAGCCAGGAGAGGATAACATCAATGGATAAGACCTTCTAAAGATTAAGTCCCTGTGTGCATCAAAAACTATTTCCAATAGGGTGAAAAGAAAACCTACTGACTGGGGAAAAACATTAGGCAATGACATCTCAGACAAGGGTCTCCTAACAAAAGTTTACAGAACACTGCAGGGCTTCCTAAAGAAAAGTACATAACCCAGAAATAAAATGGACAAAAGACAATGAAAGACTTTTCAGAAAGGAAGATACTAGGATGGCCCACAGACACATGAAGAAATGCTCAAAATCAGTGGCAATCAGAGAGGTGCAAGTCAAAACCATAATGAGATACCATCTCACCCCAGTAGCAATAGCAAATTTTAAAAGGACAGCAAGTAATAAATGTTGGGGAGGATGTGGAGAGATTGGAACTCTCATGCACTGCTGGTAGGACTTTAAAATGGTACAACCACTCTGGAAGGCAGTTTGGTACTTCTTCAAAAAGCTGATCACAAGAGTCCAGAATTAAGGTTGCATAGTGGAGTGCACTCGGGGGGTGGGGGGAATTGTATACCAATGAGGGAGTTTTTCTTTTGCTTTTCGAAGAGAGGAGTGAACTTCGGGGGAGGGGGGAGGAGAAAAGTGCAGCAATGAGTGAATGGAAATCCAAAATTCTGTAAATGTTCATTAAAATTAATAAAATAAAATTTAAAATAATAATAATAAAACCTGAACATAGAGACTCCATATAACCTCACTATTTCACTGCTAGGAATATACCACAAGAGAATTAAAATTGATACAGGAATGGAGATGTGTACACCTATATTCATAACAGTGTTAGTCATAATAGCAAAAAAATGGAAACAGCTCAAATACACATCAACAAAAAAATTGTGATACATTAACATGATGGAATATTATGCAGCACTAAGGAATAATGATTTTGCAACATACTATATGACATAAGAAAGTCTAGAAAGCATTATATTTAGTGAACTCACTCAGTCTCAGAATGTCAAATATTGCTTAAGACCATTATTGTCAAAATAGAAGGATAACTAGTAAGAGGTCTATAAATGTCCAGAAGGGAGAAGGCAGCAAGAAAAGGGGAAGGGTAGAAATCAGACAGACAGCAGAGTTTAGTGGAAGGATTGTGGTGAGGGGCAGTGTGTGAAGGAATAAGATTCAATAGGGACTTGAAAAGATGGGGTGATACTAGTCATAGAACAACAGTCATTCATTATATAAAATATAATAGGTATGAATGACTGTATGAAGCACAACACAAATGAAAGTTTGTATAAACTACAATGTATATGAATGAAACACAATGAAAATTCATTCTTGTATGCAAACCAATGAAAAAAAGAAGATAGGCTGTCTAGACTCAAGCCAGTACGTGTACACCAATGCTCACTTTAGCATTATTCACAATACCCGAAAGGTAGAAACAAGTCCAGGGTCCATCAGGGGATGAATGGGGAAACTAAACCTGGTGTGCACACTGTTAGAGCCAACAACAGGCCGCCTCTGACTCATGTCAGTTCGTGGACCACAGAATGAAATGTTGCCTGATCGCACACTATCTTCACAAAGGTTGGGATGTTTGAGTGAAGTGTAGCAAACACTGTTTTGAGGGCTTGGCAGCCTACTGGCGTCAACTCCCAGCACCATATGGAGCACTATTCTGTTGAGATTCATAGAGTTTTCACTGGCTTATTTTCAGAACTAGACAGCCAGGCCTTTTTTAGTGTGTGTTAGTCTGGCCTCCACCATGGGTGACTCTGCTTGTATTTGGTATAATGATGACATAGCTTCCAACAGCCTATCAACACAAGTTACAATATGATGAACTGAAGGTGAGGTATATACAGACAATGGAATACGCTGCAGTCATAAAAAGGGATATGCTTCCACTACATGCTACAATATGGACTCTGAAAATACTAAGCTTGAGTGAATAAGCCAGACACTAAAGGGTTTGTACTGCACGATCCCACTGCTGTAAGAAATCTAGAACAGGCAAGTTGACAGACAGAGAGTAGAAGACAGGTTCCCAGGGGATAAGGGGAGAGTGGTGGGGAGTTATTGGTTAGTGGGTCTAGTTTATGGTGGTGGTTGCTGTGCACCACTGAGTCAGAATCAACCCAAAGTTGACCCTCTGGTGGATTTTCAGAGGTAGTTAATCGTATGGGAGGAGACAGCTTATCTTTCTCCTACAGAGCAGCTGGTGGATTCAAACCATGTGCCTTCAGGATTGCAGCACAGCTTCTTACCACTAGGCCACCAGAGCTCCTAGTTTCTGTTTGGGATGATGAAGAAGATCTGGTACTGCAAGTGGTGACAAGTTACACAGCAGTGTGAATGTTCTTAACAAAAACAACGGGTATTTCAGAAAGCCTGTGCCTTCACAGCTCCTCATTCATTGGCAAAATTGTTGTTAGTTGTCCTCTGGTCAAGGCCAATTCATGGTGACCTCATGCATGCAGGACACCAACAAAGCAAAGCCACTGCCCCAGAGGTGAAATATATAATATGTGTATGTGTATGTGTATGTGTATATGTATATAATATGTGTATGTGTATGTGTATGTATATATTTTATTTTTGTTGTTGTGTGTCATCGAATCAGATACAACTGGCACAAGAGGAATTGCCTCTCCTTCTCCAGCGGAGCATCTGGTGGATTCAAACCACGTGCCTTTGGAATTACAACACAGCTTCTTTTACCACTAGGTCACCAGAACTCTTCCTCAAGGTGAATTCTTTGTTTTTACCTTTTTTTAAAAAAAATTGTATTATTTTACGTGTACCGTCAAATCAGATCTGACTGGTACAGGAGGAGATTGCCGCCTTCTTCTCCAGCAGAGCATCTGGTGGATTTGAACCACATACCTCTGGGATTGCAGTGTAGAATCTTGCCACTAGGCCACCAGAGCTCTCAAGGTGAATTCTTAATGGGAGCAGACTGCTCATCTACTCACAGGGCGACTGATGCGTTTGATTCGGAGACTTTTTGGTTAAAGCACCTCTCGCACTATAAGTCCCCAGATCTCCTTTGTAGGCATAATAAACATCTGTGAAATACATCACTGAGGAGAACAATAACAAGAAGGAAAGGAAAGGGGAAAGAGATTCTTGGGAGTGTGAGAACCTTCTACTGCATCCGCTTAGACCTGCAGTTTGCATTTCCTAAGGGGAAATCTTGGGAACAGAACTTGCACTTTTCAGGAAGGCACCGCAGCCTTGGAACACAGAGAATCTGAGAATCTGGCCCAGAGGATGATTAAATCCATGTCCGTGTCATCACGCTCTCATCAGCCAAGCTACAGCCGCTGCACACCACAGAAGACACCTGGGTTGTGTACAGACGGGCAAAAGCCAGTGCCTCTGACCCTTGCCTGCCTCTCTCCTCTACAAGGGAGCTCTACGGTGTAGTCCATAGTGAGATATGCTGCTAACCTGAAGGCTGTGCTTCTCCAGCGGTTCAAATCCACCAGCCCCTCTGTAGGAGAAAGAGGGACAATTTCTTCCTGTCACCATTTACAGTCTCAGAAACACAGTGTAGGGTCTCTATGAATTGGAACCAACTCAACCGCAATGAGCATGAGTATTATACCTCTGCACAGGCCCCTGGTTATGCAAAAAGATCATGCTAAGCCTGTAACCAAAAGGTACAGGGTTCAAGCCCACCCCATGGTACCGTGAAAAAAAAAGTGGTGAACTGTTTCCATAGAGCTTACAGCCTAGAAACTCCTTCAGAGCAATTCTACTCTATGAATGAATGGGGTCACCATGAGTTCTAATGGACAAGACAGTAACAGATACCTTTGCATATGCTGTTCCTTCTGCCTGGATGCCTATCCTTTCTCTGTATTAGCCTGACACTGTCTCATTCAGCCTTTATGACCTAACTCCCATCATCCACAAAGATTTCTCTGCCATGAGGCCCTTGGATACTGTCTTCAAGGGAGCTAATCTACCTATTAGGGAGAAGACTTACCACTATTCTCATGAGCATATGCCCAGAGAAGAAGTGGGACACATGGGAAAGGCTGTCCCTCTTGCTGTCATCAGCTTTGTCTCTGTTGGAAATATTTCCACCACTCCCACATTTCCCATTTCCCTTTTTCCTTCTTTCTTAACCTTTCCTACCCTGGGCAATTGCTGACCTTTAGATCTCCCATGGTTGATTGTTCTAAGGGGTGCTACCTTCCTGGTATTGTTGTTTCTGATGGATTGACACAGTGGTAAACTGTAACAATGGGCTCCAGCCCGTCAGAGATGATGAGGATGGCACAGGGTTGGGCAGCGTTCAGATGTGTTATTCGTGGGGTCACTGAGTTATGCTCAACTCAACAGCCTCGAACAATAACAACAACTTAAAGACCTGTCTGTGGTGTTTGGCTGAAAGTTGGGACACAGAGACAAGTTTAGTTCCAGGCCTGAAGGAGTCTCCTCCATGGATGTGATTACAACTTCGTGTGTGTGTGTGTGTGTGTGTGTGTGTGTGTACGCGCGTGGGCACGCGTGCACACCAACAAACTGGATCTAACTGGTACAGGAGGAGATTGTCCCTCCTTCTCCAGGAGATCATCTGGTGCATTAGAACCATGCACCTCTGGTATTGCAGTGTAACTTCTTGCCGCCTCCTGGCAAGAGCTTCCTGGGTGTTATTACAACTTCTATCCAATGTCTACCTCCTCCATTCCCAGTGCCGTCAGCTGCAGCTGTAGATGAGACCCTCTCATTCAACCTCATAGTTATCAAGCCCATGTTCTGGGGGTGGAGGGTGAGCTTCTATCATTCCCCTTCACAAGCAGGCAGCCAGGAGCATGGGCCTTTGTGCCTTTCCCACCTGCACCCCTACCTGGGTTTAGCGGCAAGCTGGAGGTGGTCCCACCCGACCCTGAAACTTCTACCAGTGCCTCTCAAGACCAACCAGTTCTGTAACCACTTCCCTCCCTCCGTCTGCCTTACACCACTAGGCAGCCCGCCACCATCCTTCCCTCAGAAGTCCAAAGACCAGGGCAGAAGGCCTCAGTCAAGCAGGAGGGACTGAGAAAATGACCACGTTGAGTGGAAGTGAGGCCAGGTGGTAAGAAGACAGCCTGTCCTCATCGCCATCACTGTCCCACCATGCAGCACCAGCCTATGTCCTCACATCCACGCCGTCCTCCCAAGAGGGATGCCAGCTTGCCCATGCCCTAAATGTTCATGGGGCCAGGGGGCCAGAACATGTCTGTGGTCTCAGGGAAGATCCCACGCCTTTCAGGGGTCCCTGTGTGGCAGGAGGAGAACAGATTCTGCAGGTGTCATTCTTAGGACAACATTCTTGGTCAAAATCAACTGCAAAAACTAAAATGAAATTAATTTTTTAAAAACCTAAACCCAACAGCAATTAGCTCTGTCATGAGCCCCATCCATGACCATGTAGAACTTAGTGAGCACTTGGGCCCAGCCCAGCCACCTCAGAACCAAGGAGGCCTGTGTCCTGATGAACTGAGTTCTCAACGACCGTGAGGAGCTGCGTGGGTGCCTGACAGCCCGGTGCAGCGGCCCACACAGAGGTGAGGGCAGCTATTACACACCTCCTGCAGGCCTGCGGTCAGAAACACCTCATTCCCGTCCGTCTGCTCCACCTAACCCCTCCAAGCTGGTGGACAGTGAGACGGGTGTGGCCAGAAATCACCATCGTAAAAATAATTCCATTCTGTCCAATTTACTACCTGAATAAATAGCCTCAAAGTCCCTCTAGCCAGATAGTGATAACAGAGCAAAGAAACAGCTAGGGCCGTGAGACACAGGACTTGGAGAGTAACTTGTTCTGGCAGAAGGGCAGTTTTGGGGTTCTGCACGCAGAGTTCCAAGCTCCCCTGCTTATCTACTAAGTGGCCTTGGGCGGGTTCCTTAACTTTTCTGAGGCTGAGCTGGTTTTGTTTGGGTTGAGGGTTTTTTTCATGCTTAAATTGAGGAAAATAACACCCCTGCCTGGCAGATTTGTTTGTGGGATCCAAGACATAAGATACATGAAAGCTTTTTGCAAAAGGTAAAGCATTAGGCAGAAATGAGTTCTTATAATTCCATCTTCTCGCAGGACATCGGGGTGTCTTTCATCTTCCTGCTTCCCAAATGGTCCTCCTCTCCTTTGCACATCTCAGAGCACTCTAAGAGGACACACACACACACACACACACACACACACACACACACACTACAGGTACGTCCTTGCATGTTGATGTTCATAGCTGTGGCAAGTGAGACTCATCAAATCCTATGTCCCAGAAGCTGGCCACAAAGCATCTCTGCTGCACAACCATATTCCTATCCTGGGCTTCAGAATGTATTTTTACATGAGCCTACGGTTGTTCCTGCAACAGCTTAAGGAATAGTGATGATGTCCACCACACGCTAGACTCTTCTGAAAGGAAAGCAGATTACCGTTACTGCAGGGGGAGGTGTGAAGATCACAACACTGCCCCTCCTGTTACCTTTTCACTCCTAGTATCTGGTTCTTTTTCAACACTGCTGCTTTCTGGTTCTTCCCATGCAACATTTTTATGAAATAAAAATCTTTAGATTCTTGAGCTTAAAAAAAAAAAAGCATCTCTGAAGACCCTCACCATTAACAGGAGAGGCCTGGAGCCTGTCACCCAGGTTTTCTCCTCAGCGTGATAGAAATCAGAAATTATTTCTGCCAGTCTTTGGTATACTGTAGGAGTGACAATGACTAAGGATGATAGAAGAAGTGATGTCCTTGAGTTATGGTGCTAGAGAAGAGTATTGAATATATCAAGAACTGCTAAGAGGACAAACAGGTCTGTCCTGGAGAGGGTGAAACCAAGCTGCTCCTTGGAGGCAAGGATTTTGAAGCTCCATCTCACATGCTTTGGGCATTTTACCAGGAGGGACCAAACCTTGGAGAAGGACATCATGCTTAGAAGGCTGGAGGGATAGTACAAGAGAGGAAGACCCTGGATGAGATGGACTAACTCAGTGATGGGGTAATGGGGGTAGGTAGACAGTGTGTCGGGGACAATGAAATTGGCTCAAGGTAGAGCAGGGTTCAGAGCTGCTGTACATAGGGTTGCTGTGAGTCAGAGTCAATTTGACAGCACATGACAACAACAACAGGAAAGGCAAGATAAAGATGCCTGTGACTGGCTTTACAAACAAGACCTAGGAAGAGCACCAGTTAAGAAGAATTTAGGGAGCTGTGAGAGGACCATGGTGATCACCTCGTCCTGACTTCAAAACCCAAACTCCGTGCCATCAAGTCAATTCAACACCTGGCTACCCTCCATCAGGTTCCCGTGGCCATAAATCTTGATGTTTAACAGATAAGCTGGTGGATCCAAATCATCAGCCTTTTGGCTAGCAGCCCAAAGTGGAGCCCACTTTGCCACCAGTCCTGACTTCGCAGATGAGGACTTGATACGGCAGAGAGATGCAATTTCCTAAGAGGCCACATTGGCTGACGTGGGGCGGGAGCCAAGCTCTTCTTTCCCCACCACCAAATTCAATTTCATTTGGCTCCCATCTTTCTGAATTAACAAAAGCAAACAAATCCAAAAGGAACTTACCCAAAAAACTTTTCTCGGCTGCAGATGCTAGGGCCGATAAGGGCCCCCAACAGCAGTATCCACCTCATGTTCCCAGGGCGCCGTCACAGAGTGGCTGACTCAGGCTGTATTTATAAGGCATCCAGTGCACACTCATGACCTCAGAAATGCTAATACAATTCCCAAGAACCCTTGCAACTCTGACTGTAGGCAGGCGGGTCACTGTCGGTGCCTCTTTCATTCCTTTCTTGTGATAAAGGACAAGCCACTCCATTGACAAGTCAGGAACCTGCTCTACGGCCTGGAAAAGGCTGTGCCAAGGGTGCCATGTTGCTCACCCATTGGCATTTAGATGGTGTGTTTTGTTTGTTTTGTTTTTTAGTAAATAGGAAAGTTCCAGAGTGTTGAATGGAATTCATCCTAGGAGGAGAGGTCAGATTATAACCACGGGGTAGAGTTACTTCTAGGGCAATCAAAAGGTGAAGCTTAGTAGAGCTGGTTTCCCAGAGTACATTCAGGGCAAGCCTTTCCAGGAGACTGTATCAAAACAGGTTACAGCCAGGTCCTTGACCAGCACAAGGAGTTTAAGCCTGGCTGTTAAGGCTGGTGGTTCAAAGCCATCCAGTGGCTTTGTGGAAGAAATACTTGGTGATCTACGTCTGTAAGGATGGCTGCCAGGAGAATCCTCTGGATCTCAGTCCTGCTCTGTACCACGCGGGCCCACAATGCACCGGGACAGCTCAGCAGTGATGGGTTCATTTTCTTAGTTTGGGTCATAATGAGGAAAATTGTGGCCTCTGTTATGAATCTGGAGCCCAACTCTCATAACACCACTAAGCAAGTAGAAACCTATGAGGTCACTGGGACAAGAAGAATGAAAAATAACCAGTTTTCCTTCAGGTCTTGGCTGAAAAACTTTTTTTCATAACCCCAAACTCCCTGCCATCAAGTCAATTCTAATTCATCACGAACCTTTTAGAGCAAAGAAGAACACCCTTAGGATTTTTCATGGCTAAAAATGTCTGTAGGAGAGGACTTCATCTTTCTTCTTCGGATTGACTAATGGATTCAAACTGGTGATGTTTTGGTTAGCAGTCAAATGCCTTAACCACTATGCCACTACAGCTTATAAACCTTATATAATAAAATGTAAAGCTTACACTATTATTACTAAATATATTTTCTTCCATTGGCTAATCTGAGTCTACTCTTCTTCCCATATGATCTCAAGAACTTCTTTAAGAACTCTGGGGCCTTTGAGTTCGTCCTGGGAGCCCCAGTTCCCACAAGCCTCTGCATCCCACTGTCCCCACAGTCTACATTCTTGCCCAAAGGGGAGGGGCACCACCGAGGGTCACAGTGTGGAGTGATGGAGCCTCAATCTTCTTTTCCTCCCTCCGGGATCTTCTGTCCTTCCAACCCTGAAACTGTACCCCTACATCCACTCTGTCCCCACAAAGGCTGGTCTGTACTTTACTGAGAGAGGTTTCAGCTTTGAAGTCATGAACAAAAGAAACCGAGGTGCGAAAATAAACAATCAAGTACTGTCCCCAGAATTCTAGGCAAGCGGAAATTCATTTCTCACCTTTTTCTCTCTCAGGGAAAACCAGCAACACAGAGAAAATCTAGAATTCTGAATGACAGGTGTTACCTGAAGACAAATTGTGTGGGATCTGAGACCCAGACTCAACAGGGCAACCCGGGGTCAGGAGAGGCAGCTCTACCAGTTTTCATCAGACGAGAAGTAGAAAAGGCAAAGGCAGCAGTGAGGTCCAGAGGAGTCGGTTCCTGGTGCTGTACTGCCTGCTGCCCAGCTTCTCAACCGGCATTTACAGAGTAAACCAAACCCAACTCACTTCTGGCGCACAGCTACCCTGTCTATAAGACAGAGGACAGCTGCCCCAGGAGGTTCTCACTACTGTAACCTTTACCGAATTGGACTCCCACATCTTTCTCCTGTCAGGGAGCGGGTGGGTCTGAACCACTGACCTTTCGGTAGTCAAGCATTTTAATCACTGCATCACCAGGGTTCTTTCACTGAGGAACACTCAAGCCTTGCTGTCAAATCAAAATCAGTTCACGCTATCTCTCTAGCAGGTTTTCAGAGGTTATAACTTGCACAGGAGATTGTCCACCTTTCTCTCCTGGTGGTGGGTCTGAACTGTCGGAGGGGCATCACATTTAGGTTAACAGCACGAGTCCCTGTGGGGCCATTTTGCTCCCTTCAGGAGTAAGCCAACTCGAAAGTCTCTTTTGTACTAAACCAAAATCAAGTCAACTATCCACCGAATTGTTTGATTCTGCTTCATGGTGGCCCTCGGTGGTACAGAACACAAGTGTGCTTCGGAAGGTTTTCAGGCTAGATGTCCAGGCCTGTCTTCCAAGGCACTTCTGAATGGATCTGAACTGCCACTCTTTCCTTTAACCGAACCATTTACAACGCCCAGGGATTCGAGCTCCAAAGGCTACCATGTTGTGATGAAGGGGTAAGAATAGTGGCTTGGACAAGAGTCCAGAATGAGAGCTGCATAGTGGAGTGGACTGGGGAGGGGGATTGTATAGCAACAAAAGAAATTCTTTTTCTATCAAAGATAAAGGCGCACTAGAGAGGAGGGGGTGGGCAGGGAGGGAAATGTGCAACAATGCACTAATGGAAATCCAAGTTCTCTATAAACTTTCATTCAAATCTCAATTAAAAAAATTTAAAAAAAGAAAGAACAGTGGCTTGCTGGTTTTGCATAAATGAAAGAAACAATGCTCCAGATTAGGTTTATAAATAGCAATAATCACAATCCAATTCTTCTTCGAGCAAAAGATATTTTAATGGTGTTTACTCCCTGGGTCCCTAGTACAGGTGGTCTCGCACATGCTCCATGATGGTCTTCAGGCCCAGCCAGGTCTCTTCTGCTGTGGGCAAGATCTGGGTGGCCGGTAGAAGGAAGCCATAGCGTCCTGTGTCTCTCAGTTCAAAGGCAAATGAATACTTGATGCCAAAGTCAAAGGACCAGTCAATGCTCCCGCCACTGGCTTGGTCTGGAGGACAAAGGAGAAAAGTCTGGTAAGCTTCACCCACCATGTTAGGACAAGCCAGGCTTCTATGGTCATGAATCACGAGAGCAGGGACAGTTTAGCAGGAGGTCATGCTAACGAAACAACACAACAATTTAGAAAGCAAAGGGCATTATTCAAATGGACACACTCCTCAGGCTTCCTCTGCTGTCCCTGGAGGCTGGACAAAGCCAAGAATTTAGACGTCTCTCCTACGGAGCAACTTCTGCGCCTTTGTGGGGTCACCCCCATTCCCTGAAGTCTTGCTCTAGACCAGTGCTGGGCTCACTTCTTGTTTTTCTCTGATGCAGGAAGAGGGCTGCCAATGGGGTAGGAGATTTGACCCTCTACTCTCAGGGGATTTTTCAGTACAAGGATGGGAGCCTCTGCTCTGGTAATAAGCCTGCCCACCAGCCCTCCCCTGTGAGATGGGTTAAACCGACTCGGCAACGTGCACCTGAGGTATACGTCATCCCTGACTCCACAGATGATGAGGGAAGATAGGCCTTGCCCACAAAGACTTGACACAGTCATGACTCATCAGAGCAATGAGCCAGCCCCCAGGTCCCTCCTACAGGAGGCAGGTGGAGGGCACAGCTGGGCAGAGGGCAAGACCGAAGACGCTGTACCCAGGAAAAGGAGCTGCGGGTGGATTTTAACTTCAGAAGACACACAGGCTTTTGGTCAGCGGAGCAACATGCTGGGACTAACCAGCTCTCCATTTCTCCAGTGTTTCATCTGTCAGATGGGGATAATGATACTATTTCTTTGACCAGGCAGGAGGATTAAGTGTAAAATGAGATGGCTGGGATGACATCTGCTGAGGGCTTCCTAACTGTGCCAGGTGCCGTGCTAACATTTAGGTGAAGTTCACCTCAGCTTGGCCAGGAACTAGGTACTGTCTTATTATCACATAACATGAGAAAACTGAGATTCAGAGATCAAGGTACGGGGAGCAGGCATTTCTTACTACACAGCATTCCTGTTACCATCATCACCCACTGTCTTTGTCCACACATCAGAAAGGCGGGGCCTCTATAAGGTTCAGCTGTGTCGGGGGCAGAGCTATTAACTCACCAGGAGATGAACACTCAAACTTCATTCCTATGGTGCTTAAGAGTTAGTGGACATTCTATCTTTGGAGACTCTCTTTGGAGACAATCCATTTCCCAGTTGAAAAAACAAAGGAGAGTTGAGTCACCTACCCAAGCTTACCTCCCACTAACAAAAGAAAAACAAAACTCATTTCCCTCGCTGTTGTTAGGTGCCATCCAATCTCTGACACACTGGAGCCCGTTGCAGCAGTCACCGTGTCAATCCATCTGGTTGAGGGTCTTCCTCCATTCTGCTGCCCGCTCCATCTTCCCAACCATGATGTCCCTCTCTAATGAAAAGCCTCTCCTAGCAACATGTTCAAGGCATGTAAGGCTTTATCATCCTTGCCTCCAAGGTGAGCTCTTGGGTGCACTTTCTCTAAAACATATCTGTTTGTTCTCTTGATAGTCCATGGGATATTCAGTCCTCTTCTCCAACACCACAGTTCAGAGGCTCCAATTCTTCTTGTCATTCTTATTCTTACCCAGCTCTCAGCAGCATAGCGAGTGACTAAAAAGACCATGGTCTGAATCAGGCAGCTCTTGAGTTTATTCCAATTTTAAGGACTCTATAGCACAGGGCAGAACTGCCCCCAGAGAGTTTTCCAGAACTGTCAGTTATGTCAGTTATGGAAGCAGACCACCTTATCTTTTCATCGTCCTTGCTGGTGGATTGGAGTGTTTTAAGACCTGGGCTCTCCATCCAAAGTTACTTGTTCCCCAAAGTGCCAGAGGTTGATATCAAACCCAAGCCTCTGTCTCCAAGGTCTAGGTTTTCTACCTCCCGACTCCCTGAAAAAGAACTCAGGAAACTTCTGGATCAGACACTTAACCATGTAGCTCCTCAAAGACGCAGGACAAAGCTGTGCAGGAAGTGTCTCAGCCACTGTAAAGGCACAGTACCCCCTTGGGCAGAGCAGGGAGGCAGGTTCAGCCCTGAGCTGCATACCAACCTGGGCCACCAGGCAGAGACAGCTCACCAGGGAGCCCTGAGCTGCATACCAACCTGGGCCACCAGGCAGAGAAAGCTCACCAGGGAGCCAGGCAGCGCGCATCCAGTCAAGTGGAGGCCCGGGTAACAGTCGGCCACAGGCTGGACCAGAAGCTGCCTGTGGTCAGACTCCAGAGGCTCACACAGCACACCCTGAAGTGCCATGGGGATTTTTCTGTTAGGAATAACTCCGTTCCCTTTGTCTCCTGCAACCTCAACAAAGACAGTGTACTAGATTTCAGCCCTTCCAAGTCAGCCTTGTTGGTAAATTCCTTCAGATCCCCACAGACAGGACCACGCAGCTGACCCTGGTCCACGGTGACTCCATGGCTCTCAGAGTAGAACTGAGCCATTCAGCTGTCAACAGATGCTTCTTCAGAAGTAGATCACCAGTCCTCCTTTCAAAGTATCTGGCTGGCCATAAATTGTCCACATGGTCTCAGGCTTGGATGAGGTTTCTCTCTTCTTCAACAATTTCTGGTTGCCCTTAAATGAAGCGGAGGACGATCCTGCGGTGGAAAAGGTCTGGGCAACTGTAAGCAGACCAGATCTCTCAGCAGGTGTAACACACCTAAAAGCACGTGCCAGGAGCTACAAATCAGTCTGTCCATGAGATTGGTAATTTCTCTTTGGGAATATAATCCCAAAAGAGAATATAAAGCAAAACCAAACTTGGATGAAGCTGTAACAGCACCATTCAGCAAAAAGTTTAAACAGTCCAAAGGCTCGATACTGGAAATATGGCAACACGATGGACTCAGAAGCACCTTGACTGTGACATGATTCAGAAATTACTGTTCATTGAAAAAAGCTAGCCACAAATACAGCTTACACCTCAACAAATGTATTTGCCTTTGTTGACAGAAGCCATAAATGAGATCAAAAGTGAGAAAATACGATAATTATTGAGTTCTTCATTTTGCTAGAATGTTTTTCAAATGCATCATAAGAGCCAAGTAATAACCATGAGTGGAAGGTGAGCAGCGAGGGGTCTTTGCAGCCTGTCATTTCACAGACCAGTAGCTTTTGCATTTCCATCCAGTGACCAGTTGATGGTGTAGATATGGCTTGTGAAACATTCTTCCACTGCTCTTCACACTCCCACAGAGAAAGCCTCAGCTAACAGGTGTACATTCCTGCAGCCCCCTCAAGCCCACCCTGCCTACAGGTGTAACCACAACTGTGCCCACAGACTCCCTCCTCCAGCTCAAGGCAGATCGACCTTCTGTCCACTACTGCCCGCCTCTGCCCACCTCAGTCAAACTCTATCAACTACCCACCTGTGCTCACCTCGGCCACTGTCTATTCAGCTCTGCCCATCTCTCCCCACTTCTCTCTCCCTCTGCTTGTCCTGGCCTGACCCGTCCTTTCTGACTCTGGTACTGTTACTTCAGGGAGCTCTGACTTTCTCCTACATCTTCGACCTTGATTAGTTCTTCTCCCACTAATAAGTATAACTCACATCTCAAAACCCAAGCCTTCCAGTCCCTTCCCCTTAGTACCCTTCTTATCCAGGCTCCTCAAAGAGAAATCGCCACACTGTCACCTCTCTCCCCTCCATGCCCACCTCCTGCTGTCCCCCACCTTCTTCCTCTCCTGCACTGTCCCTGCCGCCTCCTCCATGCCCACTCACTGTCTTTACCACTCTTCTGAAACTGCTCTGGTTATCTGTCTGTCATCATCAATTGTTGTTGTTGTTATGTGTCGTCGAGTCACTTGAGACTCAGTGACCCTATGCACAACAGCCCTAAACCCTGCTCTGTCCTGTGCCAATCGCACTCTCTCTGACACTCCCATCCTGATTACCCCAGTCACTGAATCAATCCACCTCATAGAGGGCCTCCCGCTCCTGCGCTGTCCCTCCACCCTCCCAAGCATGATGTCCTTCTCCAAGGACCAGTCTCTCCTCACAACATGTCCAAAGTATGTTAGACGGAGCCTCAGAATCCTTGCCTCCAAGGAGTCACCTGGTTTAACCCTCTCCAGGATGAATCTGTTTGTTTTCCTAGCAGTCCATCATCAATTAGTTCTCAAAATCTCATTGCTGTCAAATTAGAACTAATTCATAGCTGACCCACCAGTGGGATTCTGTGGCTATAAATATCATGGGAGGAGATTGCCCATCTTTCTCCCTCAGAGTTGCTGGCAAATTTGAACCATTAGAGAGACTTGGCCTCCGGTTATCAGCACAACTCCATTTGGGCTACGTCACCAGAGCTTCCCAGTAAGTTAGCTAGTGGTGAAAACCCAGTGGAAAACATCCTGCCTTTGTCTTCTTGGCCTTTCTCATCGTAAACCTCATTGTTAACCTTTTCTTTAAAAATTTTTATTGGTTTGCATATAACCTTTTTAAACAATTACTCCTCCTCTGGCCTGGGAAGTCCAGGCTCTCTGCCTTACAACGATATTTCCAATCCCCTCATATGTATGCAAAACCTGGACACTAGATAAGGAAGAACAAAGAAGAATTGATGCCTTTGAATTATAGTGTTGACAAAGAAAACTCAATATACCATTAATTACTAGAAGAATAAACAAATCTGTCTCAGAGACTTGGTCTCACATGCTGTGGGCATGTTACCAGGAGGGGACAGTCCCTGGAGGAGGGCATCATTCTTGATAAAGTGAGGGTCAGCAAAGACCCCCAATGAGATGACCTGATACAGTGGCTTTAAATGGGCACAAACAGCACCAAATGTGAGGCTGGCGCAGGATCAGATAGTGTTTGGTTCTGCTGTAGATTATTACGAGTCAAAACCAGCATCTACTATCAGCTGTCTCTCTGCCTAGACCTGCGGTGTTTCCCTGCCTCACTGGAACCTCTGTCTGGCCCCTTCTTTCACCCATTATCCTTCCCACACCAATATTCTCATGCTCTCCGGTCCCTGTAACTCTCTTTGGGGTCAATTACACACAAATCTCTGCAGAATCCTGGACCACATTGCCCAGCACATGCTGGATGGACATCTCCATTTAAATATCTCATAAATCCCTTGTTATGAATTGAAATGTATCTCCCAGTTATGAACCCAACAGCCAATACAGAGGTAGAAGATACAGTAAAGATTATAGACGTGGAAATAGTACGGGGTCGTTCTACTCTACTCGGTAGGGTTCCTGTGATTTGGAATTGACAACAATAGTTTGGTTCTATGTGTGTGTGTGCCTTTGGGTGACTCCCTGGACAGTGCAAACTGTTAACTCACTCTTTCTTAGACAAAAAGTTGATGGTTTCAATCCAGCAAGAGGTACTCCAGAAGAAGGCTTTAGTGATCATTTGAAAAATCAGCTATGAGTCAGAATGAATGCAACCACAAATAACACCAACAGCAACAACAAAAACGCAAGGGGCTAAGGTAGAACTACTGGTCTCTCCCCACTCAGAGCAAAGAAGAGTGAAAAAAAAAATCAGACACCTAGAGTACAAAGGACTAATGGGCCATGGGTACATCACTCTCCACTCTGAGCCTGGAAGAACCCAGTGACCAATGCTGACAGCTCTGAAAGGGATCACATTGCCTGAACCTGGATAGAGGAGAGAAGAATGTAGAATAAAATTTAAAATACTATTTTAAAAACCCAAAACAACTACAGGGTTACTGCAGGGACTGGTGGGACCCAGAGACTATAGCCTTCAGATACCTTTCAAATCTGGAAATGAACTCAACCCCAGGGCTCAACTTTCAGCCAAACAATAAACAATTCTAGACCATGAACAATAATACCAGGAAGCTATGCATTTCTTAGAACAATTAACCATATGTAATTAGGAGGGTCTCATTTGCCCAGGGATAAAGTTCAAAGGTCCTGGAGGGTTGAAAAGGAAGGATGGATGAGGTTTACGATGAGAAAGGCAAAGAAGACAAAGTAAAAGAGTGCTATTATACCAAGGTGGTGGCAATCAGTGTCCCAAAACAGAATCTGTACCAGCTATTCAATGAAATCCAATTTGCTTTATATCACAATAAAAAACCAAAAACTAAATACCTGACAGAGCACAGTTTTGCAATGACTCACATCATCTTGCCATGAGTCAAAGTCAACTCAATAGCAACCGATGTGGTTTTGAGTGCCATGCCTTGGACAACAACCACATTCTGCACTAGGGTCCTTTCAGCTTGCCCATAGCACACGAGCCGGGTCGTGTGTTTATCCTCATCTGCTGCGGCACTGGAAGAGGGGAGTCTCAGGAAGCCGGACGGACAGCTGCCAGCCCAGACTTATTCTGACTTGATCCTGTCCCTGATGTGGCCTTCTTATCTCCACATTCACACGGCAACCACAGTCTGTCCCCCATCTGCCCCCGGGCAACAATCTTGGATACTTGGGGAATGAGCTTCTCTACGCCAGAGAAGGGAAACTCAACAAAAGGAGCCTCAGTTTGGCCAGGTGATGATAAAGGCACGTTTCCAGGCAAAGAGATTTCACTTCATGGGAGTGGGACAAAGGACCTAAGCAAGCGCCAAAGCCAAACACTTGGGAAGTTTCTTGTTCTAGACATCACACAATATGTATCTCTTGAAGCAGATTCTGCCTTTTTGAGGGAAAGTGGAGAAGTCTGGGGTCCATGCTTAGAGGCCTATCCCTTTCATATCATGGCATCTGAGGACTCCTGTGGAGACACCCATCTTGGTGGATCATTTGTGAAAACATTCCTGTACGTCAGATACTTACAGATGACAGAGCAGATTGGTCCCACTTTGTAACTGGTGCCATGCAGGCTCTTCAAGGCATTGGCAGCCTTTTGGGCCACTTGATCCTAGAGTGAGGGAACCAGAGAGAGGCAGATGGATTGCACTGTGTCCTGAGAGGGTGAGTGCCCACAGAGAAGACAAGATGGTCTGGTGAGCCAGACTCCCTGGTTAATTGGAGTTAAGCACACCTCCTTCCCCTTTTCACCATTTTTACTGAGACGTACGCACTTTTATTGGCTTGAAAATGCAACATAATGATCCTGGGTCTATAGGTGACCTTCTAGGTAAAATATAAATAGGGTCGCTATAGGTCACAGGCAACTCAACAGCACATAACAACAACAACATCCTATATTGGTTGTTTTTTTACTTATGCCTCTTGTTTACAGTCAATAAGACCTCGGGGAAGGCCTTTGTATTTAAAAGTCGGTTGTTAGATTTTGGAGGAACATTCTTCTTCTGTCAATATACTGTACTGAGGTAACCTGGGGTTGCTGTGATGCTGAACCTTGTGCCACTGGGGTGCCAAATGCCATAACTGTTACCCCTGGTGGATAGTATTTGGTGGAGCTCCCAGTTTAAGACAGATTTAGTAGCAGGAGTGGCATCCACTTCCTATACGGCATGCCTCTGGAAACTCTATGAATGTTGAGAAACAACAATAGTTATAGTAAAGCTTCAGGTCTTTTGTTCATAGGGTCAGTATGAGTCGTGCTCAGCTCGATGGCAATCCACAACAAACAACAAGTGAAATATCCCAGAGCCATTCTTTTGCCACCAGCTCTCCTTATTCAGGACTACAGGTGGAAATAGGAAGAGCAGAAGAGCTAGCAAGAACTTATACCGACAGCAGGACACACCTGGGAAGTGGGGGTGTTTTATTTTGTATTTTACTAGATCTCTACATTGGCTTAGTTCCCTGTAACTGTCTTTTTTTCAAGAAGGAGAGCTCAGCAAAATATTTTCCATTGTTTGAGGATTCCAATTTTGACTGAGTGGGGCTTTGCTGTCCTTGCTAAGGATAAATGTAAGGTCTTGAACTTGAATCCAGGAAAACAACTGTACAATCACCAGATGGGGGAAACCTGGCTCAGCAGCATTCGCAGAGAGCCTGGGGGTTTCAGCTGTCACTGAGCCCAACATAAGTCAACGGTACTTCACTCCTGCCAAAAAATTAATGTGACCCTTGACTGTGCGAGCAGAAGTGCACAGTCTGGATGGAGACAGACATGGTCACGCTCGGCTCCGGGCTGATTAACCCACAGCACAAGGTTTACCTTCACTGCTGGGAGCTAGCCTTGAAGAATGCAGCACAAAGCATATGGGAGAAGTGGCAACCAGAATGGGGTGGAAGGCTGGGGCCATACTGTGAATGCTTGAAGGCACTGGGAATGCTTAGTCGTGTTAAGCACCGGTGGTTCCACGGCAAAATTCTCACCTCCCATGCAGGAGACCTGGGTTTGACTCCCTATGAGGCACCTCATGGGCAGCCACTACCTGTCTGTCGATGGAGCTTGCTTGTTGCTATAACATTGACCAGGTTTCCATGAAGCTTCTGGACTACGGTAGGCAAGGAAGAAAGACCTAGTGATCTCCTGCTGAAAAAAATCCACTAATGTAAACCATGTGGTTCACAATGACCTGATTCCAGCATAGTGGATGCTTGATGGCAGTTAACAACAAGTCTATAAGGAAAGCTCTAGAAGAGACAGGTGCCTGGTTTTCTAGTAAGAGTGGGCTTGTCTCTTAAAGAGAAACACATCCGCTCTGTGGAGTCAGAAGGCAGAGCAAGGATGGTAGACAGAGACCACTGGGGAGGGTCCGGCTCTCTGTAATGAGGAACGTCAACAGTTAAATCCATCCAACAAACAACAACAACAGGTAAAACTTCCTTGGAGCCAGGAAGCTGTCCTACGTCAGGTACCGATCACCAGCTAGATGACTACGTGGCAGTTTTGAACACCAGTTTCTATTAACCGTGTCAACTTAAAAGTTATGTCATTCTGGGTTGCTTCCAATCTTGACATTCTTTTTCTGTAATTCAATTCTGAGTCGTCGTTCTCACCATCAAAACCCTGTATCTGCCCTACTTGGCTCATCCAACTGATGAGATTGGAAGAGAGACTTGAATTGGGACAACGAATTCCATTTCTGCCTGGAGGTGCTGACAATATCTATTTGAAGGTAAAAATTATCAAAAGGTCCCATCTGAGGGATTATCATGAACGTATGGGTTTCCAAACCCAAGCTTAAAAGCATAACTGGAAATATAGGCACATATTCTCAACTAGGGTGAGCTCCTGCCAGTCCTCAGTGGCGCCCTAAGCTGTCGCCTGACCTAATCCACCACCAGCCTGTTTGCCCCTGAATCTGGGAAGACGGGGGGCGGGGGGAGACATTAAGTTAGTTTGACACCCCCCCCCCGCAGCATTCTACACCAGTGCATCATAATGTCACTTCCTGAGCCAAAAATGCCAAGAAAATACCAGGGAAGGAATGAGAACAGGGCACTGTCTAGCACAAGCATCTGAACACAAAGCCAAGAGCCTCCTGTCCAATCCAAGGGGTTCTTTCCTAAGCAACAGAAAACACATGCTAGGAATTTATGATCTAATCAGGCATCTGTTCACCTAGATCAAAAAACTCTTTGCTGTTGAGTCAGAAACTACTCGTGGCTGTAGGTTTCCCGAGTTTGTACACTGGATGGGAGGAGACTGTCCATCTTTCTCCCGTGGAGCCACAAGTGGATTTAAACCACCAGAGAGGTGCCACCTTTGGGTTTACAGAGTAACCCCCACTCTAAACCCAGGATTCAGCTTCACAACTGAACATATGTGTCCATACGATAGAGATTCGTTGGGGAACTGAAATAAAGTTGCAAGGACTCACCAACTCTTCAAAGTTCTCCGACTTGGTGCACTTGTAGCCAAAGGGGAACATGAGAAGCTGGGAATAGCTGTGTAGGGTAATGAAGGCTTTGACGTTTCCATGAGCCTTAATGAAGTCCACAATGGATTTTACTTCAACTTCGGAATTGGCACTGGGTCCATGGTAGGAATCAGAGCAAGGGTTGTTACTGGCTCCAGGTCCTGCCGGGATACAGAAGCAGCCCGGTGAGAACAGAATGCTCTAAGAGATGCCGTGTAGTGTTAGTTCTTCCGCTGGAATTCAGAGTGACAGAGTCATCGTGTTAAATCAAGTCGCGACCTAGGACACAGTCAAAAAGCCTAAATTTAGCTATTCTGTCCTCTTCTATTTCCTTTAAATAAATATAGTTCCTCTATAAGGCTATCAAACTGATCAGCTTCTCTCTATGGAGGAAAAAAGCTAGTTTAATATTCTAGATAGAATTCCAGCATTGGAAGGAGTTTAGCAAGTTCATTTCTGAAATGGCTTCCAATTCGGACAGTTGAAAGGTACAAGATTCTATGCATCTGTACCCCTAAGGCTCAAAGCTACAAAGGCAATAAAGCTCTGACATCCTTTCCACAAAACTACACGTGACAGCAAGGCCACCTTTAGGGTGATAGGCCCTTTGGCCTAAATGCCCTCTCAACTGGAGTGGTTTATGATCATAAGCACGGAGTGAGTCCACTGTAGGCCTGACCTGGGCTCTGCATGCTTCAGAACCTATGATTCAGATTCTTCAGGATCTCAATGATAGCTACAATCTTTGTCACCTGACTGAAAGATTATATGAACAGTAATATTTCAGGAAAATTCTGACACTGAATTGCTGGTACTGTTCCATATTTGGCTCTAATGTTTTGATTTCCACCCCCGACATTAAAAAGCTGTTTAATAAAAGCAATGAATGAAATTGCCACTCATCCATACCCTGTCCCGATTCCCTGATGTGTCACATTGAGAGAATAGAAAAAAATCAATAGAAACTGCACAAACAGAATGGATAGAACAAGAATGCTGGCACGTGGTGAAATCTGTTACCAATACCATAGTACAGTTCATATTAAAAAATTATTAAAATGGGGCCTAGTTTACTATATAAATTTTCACCTAAATCATATTTTTTAAAAATTTGCCATTCATTTTATTCCAACTCGTGGTAACCGCAGGCATTTCAGATAGGACCATGCTAGGTGTGGTTATCAGTAACTGTGATCTTTTGAGAGCAGATCCCCAGAGCTTTTTTCAGACGCATTCCTGCGTGGATTCAGACCTTCTGGAATTGCTAACCTGTCAGCGCGGAGCACTACACTGTTTGTTCTGTCCAGGGACGTTTCTTGGTTCTATATCGCTTATTTATTCATTCACTTTACAAATATCTGATGATTGAAATATTTACATTTCAGACAAAAAGTATTGGGAATGCAACAGTAAAAGACACAAGTCCAAATCTCACTGGTTTTATCAGCTAGTGAGGAAAAAGGACCCCTACTCATGTATTGGGAGCTCTAGTGGCCTAGAGATAAGAAGCTGCATTGCAATCTCAAAGCAGGTGGTTCAAATCCACCCGCGGCTCCAGTTCTGACTGGAGAGCACTTGACAACAACAGTGTGCTCACGCCAAGAATGGTAGTTTGAACCCATCACCCTCTTCATAAGGGAGCTCCGGTGGCCTAGTAGTAATGAGCTACGCTGTCACCCCAAAGGCATGTGGTTCGAATCCACCAGCTTCTTCACAGGAGGAAGATGGGTAATCTCTTCCCCAGCAGTGAAACTGCCTCTGCAAACCTGCTGGAGGGTCAGCTACGAGTCAGTTTCTACTCAAAGGTACACAACAACCCTCTTCTTAAAAGAGGTGGCAATCTGCTTCTGTAAAGATCTGCAGCCTTGGAAACTATGGGGCAGTTCTGTCCTGTCATATAGGATCCCTCTGAGTCAGAATCAACTTCATGGCATTGGGCTTTTGAAGAGCAAGGAAAACCAATCTCAATTCTGCTCTAAGTAAAACCAGGAATTTTAAGGAAAAGCAGGGCCCCCTCCCAGGCCGGCCACTGAGCTCTGAGGGGGCCAGGCAGCGAGCTAGTATGTCATGTTTGAGTCTTTTCATAAAAATCAATGTTTCAGTCCTCTTTGTAATGCTCTTCCCTTCTTTCTGGAAGCATCCAGAGATGACGTCATGCGCGTCCTCCGAGCAGGTCCTCACGCCCCCTAGTGGCCGGTCCCGGCCGCCCCGCCATCGCGGGGAGCCTGGTCCTGCAGCCTGGCCGGGCTCGGCGGGGGCGGCCAGAGGGGTCGGCGGAGGGGACACCGGGTCGGCCGGCCGGGCTTGGTGGCGGGGACACCGGGGTCGGCAGCAGGAGCAGCGGAATCGGGCGGCAGGGGCAGCAGGGTCGGCGGCGGGGGCAGCGGAATCGGGCGGCAGAGGCAGCAGGGTCGGTGGCGGGGACACCGGGGTCTGCACGCAGGGAGACCGGGCTCAGCAGCGGGGGCACCGGGGTCTGCAGGCGAGGACACCGGGCTCAGCAGCGGGGGCACCGGGCTCAGCACCGGGGACACCGGGCTCAGCAGCGGGG